GTTTCGAAAATAAAACGCCGCAGCGCTCACTACATTTCCCACAAGCCTCCGCGGCCCAAGCAGGAAGAACGTTCTCTCGCAGGGGCTCACACTGATCCAAGTTAGGAGCTTTCAGCTGCCAGCCTTGGCCCATCATGTAAGTGCTGCGGAGAATTCTTTGCAGTGCATTTGCAGAATTACCTGATTTCCCGACGGCCGTGCATCCGTCCCGGCGCCCTGCGCACGGACGCGCACGCTTCGGACGCGAAAAGGCTCCAAGTGCATGAAGATCGAGGCTTGTGTTTTTGCATCTTTGTTGCAGAAAGCGAGCCGCTGAAGCTCCAGTGCGAGGGCGATGGAGGGAGGGAGTGAGAAAGAAGGCAAAGTCTTTTGTGCTTCCCCTCCCCCTCATCAAAGCAAAGGGGAAATGTCTCAGTCGAAGGGAGGTAAGAATATGAAACCGATGTGTGCAAAACTAGCGATATGCAATCACGGCTGCACGAGCTGCAACGTGCACCGCTGCAGGTCGAGAGCGGCCGGTGCATTTTAAAGTTAGACGGCTAAGAAGGGTCAGTTGCATTTCCTGTTTGAGATGTTCCCCTTTGCACAGTTCCTGGTAAGACGATGCTGTGTGGACTCACTCGTACTGGCGCTATTAGCAGCGCACAGGCAGGGATGTAGAGCACGGGGCGCCTTAATAGTCACGAGATAGACGGTCTTTATTAGAAACTCTGCACGAGTTGACGCGTGGCGCGTGCACGCTTTTCGGGGTAAATCATGAAAGCCTTGTCGCGTGCAGGGCTCTAAATATGTGGTTTGGTGCATAGGGGAGGGGGTGGTGGGGGGTGGCATGACGTGACAACCTGCAGCTGTCAGTGGACAAGTTTGTGTGTTTGTAGGCTGCAAATTTATTTCAGGTCGTGAGGAGAGAAAATGCAACAAACTGATGGCAAAGCGACCCGCGAGCTTTAAGGTGGAGGGTTCAGGAACAGGGCGCACTCTCTGGGCTTTGCAAAGTGTGTCAGCTGCTGCTTCTGTCCAGCAACTGGATATGTGTCAAACCCCTGGGTGTCCACCGATGTGCAGCTTTCCCCCCTCTGCATGCCTGTCACACTTTTGACCCAACTTTACCACCCTGCAGCAGCAGGAGATGGAGGAGGAGCTGTGCTCAGCCTCCCCCCTGCAGCCTCTTTAAGATCATCAGTGAATGGAGCTTGCAGTGGAAGAGCCAAACAGCTGCAGTGAGAGCAGCTCGGGCCTTTTTTCTCTCCCCTCACCGTGATTTCCAAGAAGTGCAAAGTGAGGCTGGTTTGTTGCACAACATGCAGCATTCTCTCTCTGTCTAACACACGCACACATGCACGCACTGAGAGGCTGCACAGGAGGTGAACAGGTAGGAGAGAGCAAGAGCCCCCCTAATGGTCAGATCCTGTTTATCTGCTCCAGTTGAGTGTCCACCCACACGGAGGAATTGTCTTGTTGCAGCCAGCTTATCACGTGGTGAATAATGCAACACGTTTTATTTATGTTTTGTAGATGAATGAGTTGGTTTGGGACTTTCCTGAGAGCAGAAGTCGGTTTCTGTTGTCATCCATTGACGTCGGTAGAAGCAGAAAACTGCACATGTGCAGTCGCACGAAAAGTGGATGTAGGCCCACTTAAGATCTCGTCTTTGATTTAAAATGACATCCACTTGGTCACCTTTCAGCTGAGAGATGATTGGGTGATCGCTCTGCAGCTTTTCTCAGTAGGTGAATATATTTACTGATGTCTGCACGAGGACAAGTCATTATAACATCTGCTCAAAGCTTCTGACATCTTGGACCTGACAAATATTTCTCCTTTAGTAAAAACAGTAAAAATTAGCCTCAGACCGATCATTTAAATGAAATTCAAACAAAAAACAAAACAAATTAAAAAGATGTGTTGTTTCTCTGACTTTCTGTGGATTAGTATCAATACTAATAGAGAAATACGCTTTCGTAGTACATTTGTAAATGATTAAATTTCTGATTAAAAACTCCACTGAGGTTTGCAAGAACCCTTCGGCTGATCACAGAGCACACAGCGTTATCGCCACAGGCTAAAGACGGAAAAGTTGGCAGCATTGTTAATGGGGGCACATTTTG